CCGCAGGAGGCGATCAGCCTGGGAACGAGGGGCTTGAATTTGAGCAGAAAAAGGCCCCGACGCTGGTGGCTGGATCCTCCCCTCAGGTAGTAGATTCTTGTTTGTGGGCGCAGGCGGGCATGGAGGGGCTGCTCCCGGCCTCCTGTCCCAGGCCGGTGCCGTCGCTGTGCGGGTGTGGGCGTGGGCGTGGGCGCTAGGGGGCCGAGGCCACCATGCTTTGCGTGAGGGAAGGCTCCCCCGCTGTGTGACGCCATCATGTCACGCCCTCCTTCTAGAAGCTTCTGTGTGGCCCAGCCTTCCCCTCCAAGTAAACTGCGTGCTCTCCGACGGCAGTCAGTGGGCTGGTTCAGCCGTGTGACCCCATGTGACTTAGGGCCTGCGTTGCACGCAGTGGTCGTTCTGAAGTGGTTGTTGAATGAATGAAGAAATGGATGCCAAGGAAAGACCCCGTCTACAGGAAGTTGATTCTCTCTCAGCCTTCACCCTTCTGGAGCATCTCATTTCTTCTTCTCGACAGTTCTTTCTGTGTGGTGATTATTCTTTATGCTGCAGATGAGGGAACAGGGGCTCAGAGAAGTTGTTGAGCCTTAATTAGGGAATGGCAGAGCAGGACCTCAAATCCAGGCCTTTGGAACCCTAATTAACGAGATGAAGTATGTGAGGTGTGAGTACATTGTGAGCATTCGAAAAAGAGTAGCCCTTTATTCCAGGAGGGGTCTGTGTCTGGTGCATCTTCCCCCCGTTTCTTAGAATGGAGTCTGCTACGTGGTAAACTAGAAAGCTAACAGTTGATTGAATTAATGAACATACAGGAGGGCTCCAAAAAGTTGGTTTCTCTGCCTCTTGCTGCATTCTTCCCATCAAAACGGTAACACCTCTTAATGCCATCTCGGTATTCTGTGTAGTCACTCACCCATGACAGTCTTGTCCAGAACTTTTTTTTTTCTCCTGGGTAAACTTAAGTCCAAAGGCAGAAGCTATAGCACTCTCTTCGTAGCACTACCCTAAATGCATCTTTCCAGATGCCGCTTGCGCTCAGCCTCTTCGATGCTGCCCTTGTTATTGTCCTAGGTCGTCGGGTATAGTCCTTTTCGGCTTCTCAATCCCTTGTTCTTGATTCTGACATCCAAAGAGTTTTGAAGACCAGTTTTTCCCTCAATTCATTTGGCCGCAAGACCTGAATTGAAGCGAGCTATTTGCCTTTATTTATTCCAAATATGAACAAGTTTTTGCAGTCATGTTAATGTTTGTTTGTTCCGAGCGTCCCCCCCCCCCCCCCCCCCCCCCCCCACCTTACTGTGGTTATCATGTAACTTATGGTAGAGGCACCGCATTACCCTTCAAAAGTCTGAGAAAAAACCTTGGGTTTGAATTCCATAATGTCCCTTGATAGCTTACATGATTTCCTGTTGTGATTAAGGTAAAGTTGGGGGAGGAAACAGCGTTTGCCAAAGCATTGTGGAAGTGGGTAACTCTAAAAAGAGAACCGAGAGACTTTTTCTACCTCATCCTGTTGTTTATTTTGGAATTATTTAAGGGAAAAAGCCCCTTAACCAGACAGTGGTTTTTGCATGTTGGGATCATGTTTTAGATTTCTTATGTCATCCACAAAGCAGTACCAATGGTAGATACTCAAGAAATACTTACTGATTAATTTGAAAAGATTTGCTCCACACTCTAGGATTTTACTCGACAATTACAGAACTTTAATATATTTTTCTTTTTTTTTTTTAATTTTTTTTTCCAACGTTTTTATTTATTTTTGGGACAGAGAGAGACAGAGCATGAACAGGGGAGGGGCAGAGAGAGAGGGAGACACAGAATCGGAAACAGGCTCCAGGCTCTGAGCCATCAGCCCAGAGCCCGATGCAGGGCTCGAACTCACGGACCGCGAGATCGTGACCTGGCTGAAGTCGGACGCTTAGCCGACTGCGCCACCCAGGCGCCCCTTTAATATATTTTTCTAAATATCATGTTTATAATCCAAAACTGTGGAACCAATGCAGGTTTATCCCAAAGCAGAGTCACTCAGTCATTTGGGCATTCACTCAACACCTGTTTCTCGAGTATCTACTATGTTCTAGGTACCTGTTGGGCAATAGGATTATACTGCCTTGTACATAAGATGGTCATGGTCCCTGCCGTCACGGAGCTTCTAGTCTGGTGGTGAAGAAAGCAAATGACAAGTGCACAAGTACAGATCGTGGTAAGTGCCATGAAGGAAATGAACCTGGTGGAGAAAGAGTCTCTGGGAAGATCTAAGTAGTTAGTGTGCTTGCTGAAGGCCTCCCGGAGGAGGTGACCCAGCTTTGTGACATAGAGTATCTTTCTTCCCTCCGTTTCTAAGTATTCTAGGGGTTAGGGTAGCCAGACAACCAAAATTCAGGTGTGTAAATTTACCCTCTCAGGCATCACTTCTGTCTCAGATGTCATATCACCGTAATTACTATCTCAAGTCTCTGATGGTGTGAGTAAACTGAACATTTGCATGTAGTCCGGTGTCTAAAACACATAAAACCAACATACAATTTACAACTAACACCAACTGAACTTGTTAATCTGAAAAGAAACCAATGGCAGAATGGTGTCTTACATATTCTCTGGTCGTGTCATAAAGTACTAATGCATTAGTAAAATGATAGTAATTCACCTAGCCAGACTTTTTTCTTCGGGGTTTTACTAATGGTGGGGAATGTATTTAATTTCAGTATAATGTCAAGCACATCCATTTTAAACTGCCCTATTGGATTGAAGTTAATTATTTAGATACTTTCCTGGGGCAGAAAATTTATTTAAGAAAGCATTTTTCAAATACAGTTTAGAGAATATAGGAAAACCTAAAAAATTAGGATTTTCTTCCTCCAAAATATAGATAGGTAGCTAGCCAAAAAAAAGGAAAAACAAGCGTGTTTGATGACTGTTGTTCATCAGCAGGTTATGATTCTAACAGGTTTTTTTTTTTAATAGACTTGTGAGGAAACAGATCAATATTTGTTGCTCTAAGCCAGTGTCACAGTGCATCTCTGCATTGACTGAGCTTTGGTAGAAGGGAAAAAAGGACAATAGAAAAAGAAAGCCCTCATGGTTGAAAATTTTAATAGCTTATTGAAACACATTATAAATCTGGTTTTTGCTGCAGGAATGAGTCAGATAAAAATGCCTGTGTTTGAAGTGCAAACGAGAGAAAATCAGAAAATTGTAAAAACAGACAACTTATTGTTTTCTTCCTAGGGTTGATGATGGTCAATTAAATGTTAATATTGGAGAAATGTTAATTAAACTGATACATTTTCTATCTTGCTTATTTGAGGATGTGTTGTACTTTTACCAAAAAAAAAAAAAAAAAAAAGTTGATTATCCCCTTCTCTTACTTTTTGAAAAAGAAGGGATAACTCATTTAGTTTGCTTCTGAAAATTTATGTCTTCCTTAAATACACACACAGAAATTTATCAAACCTGAGCTGGGAGTTGTGAAGGTCCAGGAGGAAAAACAACACTGAAAACAAGACACATTTGTTATGGATTTTAATGTTTTTCTTTTGTGTGTGTGCCGTTTCTCTAGTAAAATCTGATTATAGATCGTTGAGGCTTCACTGGCTCTGGATGCTTGTCAGGGCTCGAAATCAATTTAGTACATGATCTCGGCGGCCATCGGTGGTGAATCACCAGGGAAAATGCAAACCAACTGACCCACCTTAATGCAAAGCAATGACAAAGGAGGAAGGGAATGGTTTCGTGTGAGCTGTGAATTGATCAGAAGCATCATTTAAGGTTTTGGGGCTGCAGATCTCAAAACCTTAAAACCATTTAAGGTTTTAGCGTATTTTGTGTCAACCTCAGTGGGCACGCTTTGTGCGCCCTTGTTCTGGGATCTGACAGATCCCACTGATAATCACTTCAGGTTTTAGGGAAGTTGTTACCCCATTTGAATTACACTATTGACATTGTTTAGTCCTAAACACATATTTCCTTTACCGAAGCCCAGTAAAGAAAGTAATTTAACCTTTTCCTTGACCTTATTAACCTTACACATTGGTTGAGGGTACCCTGAGTTAGATGTGGAGTCTGCTGAGGTGCAACTCCTTGCGTTAATAGTCCACAACCCTCCCTACTTTCAGATTAACAAGAAAGCAGAACATATTTAGATCTGATTCTAGTGACTTGTAGTTCTAAGAAGAATACAACCACGGGGTCACTTGATGACGCTAAGACTCAGTCGTTAACCGTCTTAATTACCTTCGGGACACACTATTTTATACAAGACAAGTTTTAAGCATGAGATGTCAGAGCACAAGTTCCATTTTCTTTGTTTTTAATGTTTATTTATTTTTGAGAGAGAGAGCGAGCGAGCAGGGAACAGGCAGAGAGAGAGGGAGACACAGAATCCCAAGCAGGCTCCAGGCTCTGAGCTGTCAGCACAGAGCCCCACGCGGGGCTCGAACCCACGAACTGTGAGATCACAACCTGAGCCGAAGCCAGATGCTTCACCGACTGAGCCACCCAAGTGCCCCCCAAGTTCCATTTTCTGAAACCGACTTGCCCACTTCCATGTAATGCTTTAAGATAATTTTATTTCTGGCCAAAGAGGTTGAGTGATTGAGTGAAATTTTTCTGCAGAAACGTTTAGGACTAAAAACACCACCTATATTTCTTCACATAATATGGGCCAATCCCTCGTGAGAGATTTTCCCATACAGCTCCTAGGAGAATTTTATATAGTGCCCTCAATTCTGGCTCCTGTAAGTGAGGGGCTGATTTCTAAGTAAAACTAGATTTCTCACACTGACTTGGTCTTCTGTAGACTTCTCAGAAAAGCTTTCACTTACCTATTTTTTGTGCTTTGCTTTGCAGGAAATTGATGCCTCGTCAAAATGGAGATTAATCATTTGTGTTTGGGAGCAGCAGAACGGGGGGCCAGTTACCTCTCAATTTTATAAACCAATTATATGAACTCCTTTTCCGTTGCTCACACCCCCATCCCACGTTCAAACTTCTTACCGATGGCATTCAGGAGGCAAGTGAAAAACTTCATGAAGAATTACTCAGATGCCGAAATAAAAGTCAGGGAAGCAACTTCCAATGACCCTTGGGGTCCTTCGAGTTCTCTCATGTTAGATATCAGTGACCTGACTTTCAACACAATTTCTCTGTCAGAGATTATGAATATGCTATGGCAGAGACTCGGTGACCATGGGAAGAGCTGGCGTCATGTGTATAAATCCCTTATGCTCATGGATTATCTCATCAAGAATGGATCAAAGAAAGTTATCCAGCATTGCAGAGAGGGGTTCTGTAAACTTCAGACACTAAAAGATTTTCAACACGTAGACGAAGCTGGAAAAGACCAAGGTAAAAGCAATGTGTATGGTGTGCCACTAAAGATTAGACGTTTGGGAAGGGATCGTTTTGAAGCAGGAGCTGGGGGAAAGTTATTCTCAAATGTATCAGCTCCCTTTCTCTGGGACAGTTACAGTTTCCAGAAGACTTTGTGTTGACTCTTCAGTGCCTGAGAGAGCAATTTTCTTTCAAAGGAATGTGTAAAACTAACACACGTAAGGTTCCCAATAGAACGATAGCTCGTAGAAGATGAACAAAGTGAATAAGACAGGAAGCATGGCAGCTTGGTGTAATAAGGTCACTGTAATTCACAATTATAATGGACTGGAATTTAGTCATAAATGTAAGGAAGCGTTTCCACAGACTCCAGAATCCTCAAAGACTATCTAGATGGAAGTATAGGAATACAAAAATTTAGGTCATAAAATAATTTTGTCGGGGGTGGAGGAGGAGGTGAAGTAGGGAACAGTTATGGGGAATACCAAACGGAGATGACTTGGAAACGTCTGGTATTCTGTAATGCTAAAAAAACCAAGCATTTCCTCCCCATCTAATGTAAAATTATAATTAGCATTTAAAGTGAATAGTCTTATGAATCATGAGAAAAGGATACAATTCAGTGCAGTCTTTGTGTGAAGCATACATTTTTAGAATAGATCTTTTTTAAGAGCAGCTTGAGATTTAGAGAAAAGATTTACAGATTTACACAGAAAGTACAGAGTTCCCACATACCCTTCGCCATCCGCACACAGTGCCTCTCCAGTTAACATCTCGCATTAGTGTGGTACATTTGTAACAATTGACTAATAACCAGTATTAACACGTTCGCTAAAGTCCTTTGTTGACCTTAGGGTTCACTCTTGGTATTCTGTTCTGTGGGTTTTGAAAAACGCACGTCTTGTATCTACCACTCCAGGATCATAATAGTTTCACTGCCTTGAAAATGTCCTGTGTTTGGGGCGCCTGGGTGGCGCAGTCGGTTAAGCGTCTGACTTCAGCCAGGTCGCGATCTCGCGGTCCGTGAGTTCGAGCCCCGTGTCAGGCTCTGGGCTGATGGCTCGGAGCCTGGAGCCTGTTTCCGATTCAGTGTCTCCCTCTCTCTCTGCCTCTCCCCCGTTCATGCTCTGTCTCTCTGTCCCAAAAATAAATAAACGTTAAAAAATTAAAAAAAAAAAAAAAAGAAAGAAAATGTCCTGTGTTCTACCTGTTCCTCCTTTCTCCCCTGCCTGGAACCCTTGGTAGCCACTGATCTTTTTATTGTCTTTATTAGTTTTGCCTTTTCCAGAATATTATGTAATTGGAATCATATACGATGTAGCTTTTTCAGACTCCTTTCTTTACTTGACAGTCTGCATTTAAGATTCTCCCATGTCCTTTTTATAGCCTGAGGAGAGCTCGTTTCTTTTTCTTTTTTTCTTCGCATTTTAAAAATCAGCTTTATTGCAATATAATTCACATGTCAGACAATTCACCCATCTAAAGTCTACAATCCTATGGTTTTAGGTATATTGTTAACTTTTAAAAATTGGGATAAAATGTAAATAACCAAATTTGTCGTTTGAAGCATGCAATTCCGTGACATTAATTACATTCACAGTGTGGCACAACCATTACCACTGTCTACTTCCAAAACTTTCATAACCCCAGGCAGAAACTCCATTAACTGTGGGGCACTTGAGTGGCTCAGTTGGTTGAGCGTCTGACTCTTGGTTTTGGCTCAGGTCGTGATCTCACAGTTTGTGAATTCAAGCCCTGTGCTGGGCTCCATGCTGACAGTGTGGAACCTGCTTGGAAGTCTCTCTCTCTCTCTCTCTCTCTCTCTCTCTCTCTCTCTGTCCCTCCCGTGCTCACTTTCTCTTTCAACATAAGTAAGTAAACTTAAAAAAAAAAAAAAAAGCACCTCCATAATCATTGGGCAATAAAGCTCTCCTGCTAATCTCTAATCTTCCTTCTATCTCTATAAATTCACCTCTTCGGGGTACCTCATGGAAGTGAATCATATAGTATTTGCCTTTTGTTTTTGGCTCATTTCACATACTTGATGTGAACTTCATTCTTTTTGTAGCTGAATAACATTCCATTGTGTAAACATAACCACATTTTGTTTATTCATCTGATGGTGGATTCTTGGGTTGTTTTCACATTTTGGCTCTTGTGAATTGGGCTGCAGTGAACAAAAGCCTGCAAGTGTCAGTTTGAGCCTCTGCTTTCAGTTCCGTTGGGTGTATACTTGGGAGTGGAGTTGCTGGGTCATATGGCAATTCAATGTTCAGCTTTTGAGGAACCAGTAACTGCTTTTCCTTAGCAGCCGCGCCATTTTACATTCTTACCAGCAATGTAAGAGGGTTCCTGTTTTTCTGTATCCTTGACAACACTTGTTCTCGTCCATCTTTTCGATTAGAGCCATCCTACTGGATGTGAAAAGTAGTATCTCGCTGCGGTTTCAATTTACGTTTCCCCAAAGACTAATGATGTTGAGCACCTTTCTATCTATGCCCTTGTCGGCCATTTATATATCTTCTTTGAAGAAATGGCTGTACAAATCCTTTGTCCATTTTTAATTGTTGGGGTTTGTTTTTTTTTCTTTTTATGTGTCGAGTTTTTTATATTCTGGATACAAGACCTCTATCTTGTGACTTGCAAATATCTTCTTCCATTCTTAGGTTGTCTTTTTTACTTGCTCGATTCAATTTTGATGAAGTCCAGTTTGTCTGTTTTCCTTTGGTGCTTGTGCTGTAAGTGTCGCATGTAAGAAGTCATTGCTTAATCTAAGGTCATGAAGATTCACACCTATGTTTTTTTTCTAAGAGTTTCAATGTTTTAGCTCTTCCATTTAGATCTTGGATCTAAATTTTTGCGTATGGCGTGAAGTTGAGTTCCAGTCTCATTCTTTTGCGTGTAGATATCCAGTTGTCCCACTGCTACCTGCTGAGAAGACTATTCCTTCCCCCATTGAATTATACTGGCACCCTTATAAAAATAGTTGACCATAGATGTAAGGTTTTATTTCTGTACCCTCAATTAAAAAAAAAAAAAGTGTATTTATTTATTTTGAGAAAGAGAGAGCATGAGCGGGAGAGAGGCAGAGAGAGAGAGAGAGGGAGAGAGAATCCCAAGCAGGCTCTGTGCTGTCAGTGTGGAACCCGATGTGGGGCTTGATCTCATGAACCATGAGATCATGACCTGAGCCAAGACCAAGAGGCAGTTGCTTAACTGACTAAGCCACCCAGGCA